GGGGTCTGGCTCACAAAGTCACAAAGATCCCCCAGGCCTGGACCCCTGACGAAAGTGCTGGTGGGGCCCCTTGGGGAACCGATCAGCTCCTGGTGGGCCTCACCCAGGAGTGGCAGGGGATCTGGGGTTGGAAATCGAGTGTAAGTGAGCTGGACCGTCTCGCGGTTATTCAGCAGCACATACAGGCGCTCGACCTCGACCCGACCCCACAGCCTATCGAGTTGCCGCTCCTGAGGAGGACACTCGGCAAGTTCAAGAAGTGGACGGCAGTGGGAGCAGACGGTTGGCACCCGCACGTCCTGAACCAGTTGTCCGACGACGGGCTTCTGGCGTTTTCCACCCTCTTGTGGCAGATGGAGAGGCTGGTCGCCTTCCCGTTTCAGTTGTGGAAGATTGTCATCGGGTTTCTACTTAAACCAGAAGGGGGGCGGCGTCCAATCGGCATCTTGACCACGTGCATGCGCGTTCTCTCGGCCTGCAGGAAGTTAGAGGCTAAGCAGTGGGAGAGGGAGCATGAGAGGGATTGGGTCTACGCCACGCAGGGGAAGAGTTGTGAGAGGGCGGTCTGGGTTCAGTCCGCTATGAACGAGTGGGCCTTTCATCACAACCAGTCTTCTGCCTCAGGCCTGGTTGATCTTCAGAAGGCGTATGAGCATGTCGGACACGTTCGCCTTTTGGATTTCGCGGTGCAGCACAGGTTCAGCCCGCGCAGAGTTGCCCTCCTGGTCACTATGTACAGCGCCCCGAGGGTTCTGCAGGTGGGGCTATTCGTTTCGGAGTGGTTTAGAGTTGCTCAAGGGATCCTCGCAGGGTGTGCATATGCTACGATGCTCCTCCGTCTGTACCTCACCAGTACCCTTGATTCGGTCATCCCTCTCGCCGTCAACATCTCTGCCTACCTAGTGGTGGATGACTGTACGTTGTCAGTGATCGGGCCAGCCGAGATGGTATTTCGTGGGCTGGTACGAGCGCTCCACGCATTGTGCAGCAAGCTGGAGGATCTAGGACTGACAGTGTCTCCCACTAAGAATAGGATTGTGGCGTCGTCCAGGACCATGGGTAAGGCTATATCCAGCAGGCTTCGTCGGTGGAACTTCGTGGTCGTCGACGGGGTCAAGAATCTTGGGATTGACTTCTCGTGTTCAAGGGCGGCACGCAGGGTCCAGAAGGGTCGGATTCTGAGCGTCAGAAAAAGGATTCGCAGGTTTCGGTTACTCAGCTCGTCGCGAAAGGGGCTCTCTCGGATCTTCAAGGCAGGAGGAGCTCCCGCGGCCTTGTATGGTACCAGAGTAACGGGAATGAGTAATGCGGATCTCTCCTCCCTGAGGGCTGCTGCTGGTTCGGCGCTGTTTGGGCCGTCGGCTGGCAAGAGCCGCACGTTGCAATTTCTTCTCAGCGAGGACCCCAAGTCCGATCCCGTGTATGCGGGCAACGCCTTGCCGCTGGTGTTCTGGGGGCGCGCGATCGTCGAGGGTTGGGTGTCGAGTGATATCTTGGGGTCCCTCTTTGCCAAAGCGTTTGCTAAGTTTAACGGCAGGGTGCGTGGGCCCTGCTCGGCTGTTTTGGCCACCTTGAAGCGCCTGGGTTGGACGCCGCAGAGTGAGTCGAGGTGGGAGGCGGGGGGTGTGCTGGTTGATCTGACGGAGGTCCGCCCTGGCTCGCTTCGAAAAGTTGTCGATTTAGGAACGGAGCTTGCGCTCCTACGGTGCCTCCCTGGGTCCCCTGGTTTGGAAAACCTGGGGGGACCCCCTCTCCTGGAGCCTATCCGCCAGGCCCAGCAGCAGCTTCGACGTGAGGGTTTCAAGACGGCGGCGCAGCTCCTCGGAACCCATGTCTCTGGGGGGCTCTGGACTCAGGCGCGCCTCTTCGCGGCACGGTCCGTCGACTCGCCCTTGTGTCAGGTCTGCAAGGCGGAGCCAGGAGACGAGGGGCATCGTTTGTTCAGATGTGAATTCAGTGTTGCGGTCAGACGCGAGCTTGACCTGGACGATGTCACGCGTGCTGGCAGAGAATGCGAGCATCATGATCCCCTCCTCCACAGGGGCCTTGTGGACTCTTTGCTGGACCTCCAACCTCCCCCGAGGCTCGATGGGCTCGTGGAGTATGACGGGCCCATGGTGGGAGGGGCCCTCACAGGTCTCGTTGGCATTGACGGGTCCTGTTTGTCGCCCACTTTTCCTCTGGCTTCTAGGGCGGGTTGGTCTTGCGTGAAGATTGACCGCCATGGGAACTCGGAAGGAGCCATATTTGGGCCTCATCCTGGAGTCTTGCAGGAGATCGGAGCTGCAGAGCTCTGGGCCTGTTTGTATGTGCCCACAATCTCTGGCTAACGGTCGTCACCGATTGTAAGTCTGCTCATGCGATGGTGTGTGCGGCAGGGCCTGAAGCGTGCTGCCGTCCCACGAAGGTGTATTCTGAAGTGTGGTGCAAGATTTGGTTTAAGATCGACGAAATAGGTCTTGAGCAGATTCACTTGCACTGGATGCGAAGCCACGACTCCTGGACTCATGCACAGGCGCAAGGGGTCCCGTGGCTTCACTACAGAGCTAATAAGCTTGCTGATGTTTATGCCAAGAAAGGCGCGAGGTTGCATCCTGTTTCTGAGGAGGTAGAGGAGTTGAGGCCGCTGTTGATGTGGTCGGCCTATTTCGTTGCCCTCTACTCAGGCAGGATTCTCGCGCACCTCGCCGCCTCCTCTTTCCCCGATGCCCTCAAACCTCGGCTCCGTCGTGCTTTCGACCCGCTCGAGCTCGTGTCGGATCCCAAAGGGCATCAGGCGAAGTATTCTGGAGGACGCTGGTTATGCTTGAGTTGTGGCCGTAGTTGCTCGACTCGAGCTAGGCTGGTGCACGACAGGTGCCCTGGGGTCATGGCGAAGCTGGCTCAGGCGCATTGGTCTCACAGGCTTTTGTGCTCGGGAGGTCCTGATGGTCTGGTGTGGTGCAGTGTGTGCGGGGCGTATGCCAGACGGCAGATTTTGGCCCTTGCGGATCGCTGTGCTGGACACCCCACGGACGGCCGAGCACGGGCCTTGCGTCAATTAAAGCAGGGGCTTGACCCCTCCTCCAAGCGGCCCATCCCCCGCTCTAGCCCCGTACAGCCCCCTCTCCATCCCCGCCGCGTCGGGTGGGCTCGGGGGCTGTATGAGGTCTTGGGCGAGAGGCGGGACATACGCTGGGAGGTTTTCGGAGTAGGGAGCCGTGGAGTGCGTGGGCAGTCCTGTGGCTTCCTCGGCGCGTAGTGGAGGCGTTCGGATTGCGGTGGTTCCCTCGGGGGCCGCCGTCAGAGGAGCGGAAAGCGGAAAGAGGAGGAGGAGGAGGAGGAGGAGGAGGAGGATGCCGTCCAAGGAGCTGGCGTTTTTGGCCAAACGTGCGGAGGGGGCCCCCCCTCAGGACCTCTGGGGAGGAGGAGGAGTCTGCCACGCGTTGGAGGAGGAGGAGGAGGAGCTCGCGCGGGGGCGGTCTGCGCCTCTTGAAGAAGGTGGCGAGTGAGGGGGCCGGAGGAGGAGGAGGAGGAGGAAGCGGGAGGGGGGGGAGGAGCGAGGAGAGGGAGGTGCGAGGAACGACGAGGAGGAGGAGGAGGAGGAGGAGGAGGAGGAGGAGGAGGAGGAGGAGGAGGAGGAGGAGGAGGAGGAGGAGAGGAGGAGGCGGAGGCGGCGGAGGCGGAGGCGGAGGCGGAGGAGGAGGAGGAGGAGGAGGAGGAGGAGGAGGAGGCGGAGGAGGAGGAGGAGGAGGCGGAGGAGGAGGAGTAGGAGGATGAGGAGGAGGAGGAGAGGAGGAGGAGGAGGAGGAGGAGGAGGAGGAGTGGAGGAGGAGGAGGAGGAGGAGGAGGATGAGGCGGGAAGGGAGGAGGAGGAGGAGGAGGAGGAGGAGGAGTGAGGAGGATTAGGAGGAGGAGGAGGAGGAAGGGGGAGGGGGAGGGGGAGGGGGAGGGGGAAGGGGGCGGGGAGGAGGAGGAGAGGAGGAGGAGGAGGAGGAGGAGGAAGGAGGCGGAGAGGAGGAGGTAGGAGGAGGAGGAGGATGAGGAGGAGGAGGAGGTAGGAGGAGGAGGAGGAGGAGGAGGAGGAGGGGGAGGAGGAGCTGGCGCCCGCCAGGCCCAAGGAGGCTCGGGTCTCGCGAGAGAGGCAGCGTCCGAAAGCCAGGGTGTCGAAGTCTGCTGCTTGCCACCGCTTTCGGCTCCGCCGCTGGGCGCCTTTTCCTCGGCACGTGGCCGCCTCCGCGGCGCCGGGAGGCGCTGGGAAGAGCGGCTGCGTGAGCTGAGCCGCTAGCCCACTGTTTGCCATCCCTCTCCTCTGCTTTGCTCCGAGAGGCCCCGCTGCGCGCTGCCTGCTGTGGCCTCCCTCCTTCCCGCTCTGCTGCCTCCCCTCTCGCTCTCGCCTCCCTGCTCCTCTCCGTGCTGCTCTCGGCTCTTCCTCCCTCCTCCCCGCCGCCCGCTCCCGCTCCCCGCACTTGCGGCTGCTGCCCGCGCGCGGCGCTCTGTTTTCCTGGTTCCACCTGGCTTGCCGGCCCTTCCGGCATCCGCCGCGCCGCCTGGGGCTTGGGCTCCGTGGCGCTGCGGAGGCAACGGCGCCCCGTGCCCCCCGCGAGGGACCCGGGCGCTCGGAGGGCACCAACTATACACCAACACCGATCCTGGGCCCAGGGTGATCCTGGCCAGGATCGGTGTTGGTGTATAGTTGGTGCCTTCCTAGGGCGCGACCCTCGCTCCTCCAGCGACCATGGGGGGGGGGCACGGCACGACCAGGGAGGCACGGGGACCGCCACGCGCGGAACGCCGTGCGCTGCTCGGGCGCAGCGCCCGGGGAGCCACGGGCGCAGCGCCCGTGCCTCCCTGCCTGGTCGGCTTCCCCCCGCCGCCGCGACGGGCCCCCCCGAGCCGGGAGCAGGCGCAGGCTGTGCGGACAGCGGGCGCTCGCCGGGGGCCCCGGCGAGCCGAGGGCCCTAGCTGTCCGCGGGCGCCCCGCTCGGGGTCGCCTCCCGCGCGGGGGGGGCGCCTGGGAGGTCGACCCGAACGCGTTCGGCTCGCAGCGGAGGACGCGCGCGCGCGCCCAGGGGGCTCGCATCAGGCCGCTGCTTGCGCCGCCTGTTGTGCCTTCCAGCGGGCCGGGGGGAGGGGGGGGGAAGGGCAGCGGGGAGCAGGAGCAGGGGGAGGAGGAGACGGCGGAAGGGGAGGAGGAGGGGGAGAAGGAGGGGGTGGAGCAGTGGAGGAGTAGGATGACCGAGGAGGGGAGGAGGAGGACAAAGAAGAAGGAGGATGAGAAACCGGAAAATTGAGGAGGATGATGAGGAGGAAGAAGAGGATAATGGTTGAGGAGGTGGAGGAGGATGACGAATGATGACGAGGATGGAAATGATGTGGCGGATGATGAAGCTGCTGATGATGATGACGATGACAAAGACGATGACGATGATGCTGCTACTCATGATGATGATTACGATGACGATGATAATGGTGGTGATGATGATGTTGCTGCTAGTGATGATGCTGATGCTGATGATGATGACGATGACGATGGCGATGATGACGACGATGATTCTGATCATGCTAATGCTGATGCTGGTGATGACGATGTTGATGATGTTGATGTTTATATTGTTATGGATGGATATTGTGATGATGATGGTGACGACCACGACGATGATGTTGATGATGCCGATGACGATGACAACGGTCATGATGATGTTGATGATGATGCTGATGCTGATGTTGATGATGATTATGATGGTGATGATGATGGTGACGATGCTGATTATGATGAGGATGCTGCTGCTGGTGATGATGATGACGATGCTGCTGCTGATGATGATGATGATGATGATGATGATGATGATGATGATAATGATGATGATGATCATGATGACGATGCTTATGCTGATGATCCTGATGATGCTGATGCTGATGATGATGCTGGTGCTGATGTTGCTGCTGCTGATGATGATGCTGATGATGCTGATGATGCTGATGATGCTGATGATGATGCTGAAGATGATGATTGTGCTGATGATGGTGATGCTGATGATGATGATGATGCTTTTGATAATACTAGCGTTGAGAATAATAATACGAGTAGTGTTCAAATTCACAACCACAATCCTAAACATATTCATGTTAGCACTACTAATGTTATTATTCGAATTATTCGAACTACTACTACCACTACTAATACTGTTATTACATATTGCATTTTTGATACTGCGTTTCCAGTGTATTACGGCGAATATACTAATCACCCTGATACTACTGATGATGCTGATGAGGGTGCCGATGCTGATGATGCTGCTGCTGCTGCTGATGATGCTGATGATGATGATGAGGATGAGGATGCTGCTGGTGATAATGATGATGCTGCCGCTGCTGATGATGATGATACTGATGATGATGATGCTGATGATGCTGATGATGATGATGCTGCTGCTGATGATGATGATGATGACGATGCTGATGCTCATGCTGATGTCGACGACGATGATGTCTCTTTTTGGAGCATGGCCTGTTGATCTCCATGGCCAGTACCCATGGTTTTATTGACTAAACTAAACATGACATTGTAAGGAATAG